CACATACACACACACCCAGAGAGAGAGAGAGAGAGAGAGAGAGAGAGAGAGAGAGAGAGAGAGAGAGAGAGGAGTCAGAAAACAACTGGTGGAGACCATTTTTCCTACTATGTGAATTCTAGGGCTCAAACTCAGGTGGTCAATATTGGGCACAGACACCTTTACCTGCTGAGCCACCTTGCTTCCCACTTTAAATTTGAATTTCAATCCTGCTCACTGTTAATTGTAAAAGAAAAGTGTGGATCCTCATATGGTCTGTTGAGAATCCTTTCAAGGTGTGTGTGTTTTCTCAGGAGGACAATGTTCCCAAAGCAGAGCTAGAATTTTTATGTCCGTTGTGTGGTCATCTTGGAGAGTTTCTGCAGATAATATATTTAAATGTCTACAGTGTCAATTGTGTGGTCAGCATGGAGAGTTCCTGCAGATAGAAATGTATTTAAAATTCTACAGTGTCAATTGTGTGGTCAGCATGGAGAGTTCCTGCAGATAGAAACGTACTTAAATGTCTACAGTGTCCATTGTGTGGTCATCATGAGTGTTCCTGCAGATAGAAACATATTTAAATGTCTACAGTGTCCATTGTGTGGTCATCATGGAGAGTTCCTGCAGATAAAAAATGTATTTAAATCTCTACAGTGTCCATTGTGTGGTTATCATGAGTGTTCCTGCAGATAGAAACGTACTTAAATCTCTACAGTGTCCATTGTGTGGTCATCATGGAGAGTTCCTGCAGATAGAAACGTACTTAAATGTCTACAGTGTCCATTGTGTGGTCATCATGGAGAGTTCCTGCAGATAGAAACATATTTAAATCTCTACAGTGTCCATTGTGTGGTCATCATGAGTGTTCCTGCAGATAGAAACGTACTTAAATGTCTACAGTGTCCATTGTGTGGTCATCATGGAGAGTTCCTGCAGATAAAAAATGTATTTAAATCTCTACAGTGTCCATTGTGTGGTCATCATGACTGTTCTTGTAGATAGAAACATATTTAAATGTCTACAGTGTCCATTGTGTGGTTATCATGAGTGTTTCTGCAGATAGAAACGTACTTAAATCTCTACAGTGTCCATTGTGTGGTCATCATGGAGAGTTCCTGCAGATAGAAACGTACTTAAATGTCTACAGTGTCCATTGTGTGGTCAGCATGGAGAGTTCCTGCAGATAGAAATGTATTTAAATCTCTACAGTGTCCATTGTGTGGTCATCATGAGTTTTCCTGGAGATAGAAACGTACTTAAATCTTTACAGTGTCCATTGTGCGGTCATCATGGAGAGTTCCTGCAGATAGAAACGTATTTAAATGTCTACAGTGTCCATTGTGTGGTCATCATGGAGAGTTCCTGCAGATAGAAACGTACTTAAATATCTACAGTGTCCATTGTGTGGTCATCATGGAGAGTTCCTGCAGATAGAAACATACTTAAATGTCTACAGTGTCCATTGTGTGGTAATCATGGAGAGTTCCTGCAGATAGAAATGTATTTAAATCTCTACAGTGTCCATTGTGTGGTCATCATGAGTGTTCCTGTAGATAGAAACATATTTAAATGTCTACAGTGTCCATTGTGTGGTTATCATGAGTGTTTCTGCAGATAGAAACGTACTTAAATCTCTACAGTGTCCATTGTGTGGTCATCATGGAGAGTTCCTGCAGATAGAAATGTACTTAAATGTCTACAGTGTCCATTGTGTGGTCATCATGGAGAGTTCCTGCAGATAGAAATGTATTTAAATCTCTACAGTGTCCATTGTGTGGTCATCATGAGTTTTCCTGGAGATAGAAACGTACTTAAATCTTTACAGTGTCCATTGTGCGGTCATCATGGAGAGTTCCTGCAGATAGAAACGTATTTAAATGTCTACAGTGTCCATTGTGTGGTCATCATGGAGAGTTCCTGCAGATAGAAACGTACTTAAATGTCTACAGTGTCCATTGTGTGGTCATCATGGAGAGTTCCTGTAGATAGAAATGTATTTAAATCTCTACAGTGTCCATTCAGTTCTCCTATGCAAATTCTAATCCCACTTAAAACTTCTTTAGCACTTTGCCTTTCCCTTTTTGTCTCCTCCTTTCTTCCTTCTCCTCTTATGTCTCTTCCTCCTTCATTTTCTAGTGGTGTTTCATGTAGTTAAGACTGGTCTTGAACTCAAAATTTGCTTCAAATTTTGTCAAGTGTCTTTTTGTGTATGCTTGTGAGCAAGTGTGTGGTAAGAGGATAATGTTGGGATGTTTTCTTCAGTTGTTTCTCTACTTTATTTATTTATTTTGAGGCAAGATTTCTTCCTCTACCTGGAACTCGTCATTTTAGCTAGTCTGGCTGGTCAGTAAGACCCTGGGATTCTCCATTTCCATCCTACAGAGCTGAGATCATAGAAGTTGCCCATCATGCTAATGTGAAACTTTTACATGGTGATGGGTTTCCCAGTAAGCATGGTACCCACTGGGTCATCTTCCCAACTCCAGATGTCCTAATAGGAGAAACTGTAATAAAGAGACAAGAAAGATCCTTTTCCCTAGAGAGGCCTTGTTTTGTAAACACAGTAAAACTGCATTTTTCATTCTATCTTTGGAAAGTTTTTTACTATATATCTGAGATTTTCATGTAGCTCTAGAATACAGCAAATTTCTATATACATTGGCCATTTTTAAGAACTCTTAAGTTTTCAATTTGTCAATGTAAACTTAAATTATACTGTGCTTATTTCCACTTTCATGGCAAGGATGATCTATCTGGGCAGATTATCAGTATTCAACTCAAGTTCAGGTTGCTTTCTGCCATTTAAGTTTTTGTGAAAACAAGCAGCAGCAAACAACCCATAGGTTTTCAATTTGGTGCTATTGTGAGTAGTGATGACATCTCTCTGTGTCTTATGCTGACCTTCTTGGCTCAAGAACCAACCATTTTTTAGTATATATACACTCTGTGTATTACCAACCATTGGTCACTTAGTAGCTCTACTGATTATGGGATGGACTGCCATAATATTGCAGTACTTGTCTTCAAGCCAACCCTGTTTTATTTTATAATTGCTTCAAAGTTCAAGAGTATTCAACCTGACAAAGTGAAAAAGAGACTTGCTAAAGACAAAGATATTCCCTAAGTGAGAAGGTGATAGCTATGGTCTTTTTTTTTCTCCTGAGTAAACTGGTGGCAGTGGGGGGGTAGAGAAGAGGGGATGGGGGATGAGAACATGAGGGAACAGGGTGGTCCAGTTGGGGGAGGGACAGAAAGGGAGAGCAATGAAAGATATTTGGGTAGAGGAAGCCACTATGGGGTTGGGGAGAAATCTGGTGTTAGGGAAATTCCCAGGAATCCATAAGGATGGTCATCATGGAGAGAGACTCCTAGCAATAGTGGACGGGGTACCTGAACTGGCCTTCTCCTGTAATCATATTGGTGACTACCCTAATTGTCATCATAGAGCTATGGTCTTTTTTTGTTTGTTTGTTTTTTTAGAGCTATGTTCTTAATACGAAAAGAAAGCATGCTGAGCTGCTACAATAAAAATCTATCTTTGGAGCTGAAGAAACGGCTCCGTGGTTAAAAGTATTGGCTGCTCTTCCAAAGGACCCAGGTTCAATTCTCAGCACCCACATGGTACCTCACAACTGTCTGTAATTCCAATTCTAGAGGATCTGGCATCACCATACAGACATACATGCAGGCAAGGCACCAATTAATATAAAAATAAATAAATCTTTAAAATAAATAAATAAATCTTTAAAAAAAATCTTCTGCAGGCAAAACTGTGACGAAGAAAACCAGCATTTGTTACACCCTAGACTGCAAAATATACAGATACAGTGTGTGTTTAATGCTGAGCTGAGTTAGAAAAAACAGATTGTGGGTATAAGGCAAGACAGAGGAAGTGTCCACTTTACAACAATGCAATGCTCCAAAGTACCAATGTAAGTATACAGCAAATTATCCTCAAATTAAGTGGCTTTTAGTTACTCCATATGAGTAAGGGATGAAAACACAAAGTCAAGAATATGTTTGGACTGAAAAATACAGAAGTTACCAGAGACCATTTCAGAGGATGAAAAATATCATTCAACTGGACAGTTTCAGGAAAGATGATTAGTAGACCACAAAGGTGCAAAGAAGACACAGGACAGGGAGGGACAGGTTTGCTCTGGTATTGTGTGTCTGTGCTGCACGCAGGATGATGTTACATGCTTCAGGACGCATATCCAGAGCATAGACTCTTAGAAATAAAATCTCTGACCAAGTATGGTTACAATCTTTAATTCTAGCACCCAGGGGTCAGAACAAGTGGAATCTCTGTGGGTTTGAAACTGTCCCGGTCTATATATCAAGTTCCAGGCCAGTCAGAGATACATAGACTCAAAAACAAGCAAAGAGACAAACAACCAACTCAACAACAAAAAACAAAGAAGGAAATAAAAACTCTGTGTTGTGCCAATATAATCAGACAAAGTAGATAGCAACAATTTTGTTATGGAAAAGTTTCATCCCAGGAGTGAAAAAAATCAGTGGAGGTGAGAGGTTTCGAATTTAAAGTCCTGTAAATGTCAGGATTCATGGAAAGCATCAGTGTTATAGTTTTTTATTTAAAACACAGCGCCATTGCTCCAGACTTGGTAATATCTATGATTTGACATTCTCCACAGATCTTAAACTGTACCTCCATAAAAGCAAAACAAAACAACTTGTATGAAATTTTCGTATAATAAAACCAATATGTTTTCAATAAAACTAGTTGTTATAGATGTAAAGAAAAGTCCAATAAATTGATGTTAAAATAAATCAGCTTTTGTATTGTACACTAAAATCAATCAGAAATCATTAGAAGTTATGAGTACAGAGACAAAACACTAGAGAACTCAACATTCGCTAATTGAATTTAGGCCATACAAAGAAATCTTCTATCATTTCATGAATGGAACAACAACAAACCTTCAAACTTGCTGTTTTCAAAGTAAGAAATATTCAAGAAAATGTGTATGAACACTCAGCTTTCCAGATAATTTGATTGTGTTTTTTGCTACTATGTTTGTATACATAAAATGTTTAAATACCTTAAAATCATAATCATTGTTTAATTAAAATATTTCTAGGTTTTTATTAAATTTTGATTTTGGGAAAACATTTATTCACACCAGACATACAAACATATGCACTAAAGACTGTTTTAAGACATTATATAATTAATTCATGGCAATTAAAGTAGTAAAACTTTAAAAATGATAACTTCTCACTTTAAATTTTGGTTCAAATTTGCTTACTGGATTGCATTTCTTTAAAGATACTCTTACTATGTATCCCTGACTGACTTGTTACTCGAAAGCCAAAGCCTGGCTTTGAACCTAGTGATCCCTATATTCTGGGATTATAAGCATGTGCTACCACACATGGCAGATTGCATTTGTGAAAAAAAATCCATGTGGTTATACAGAAATTATATGTACTTATAATTTGTTTATTCAACATAGCAGTCTAATATATGGTGTATCTAATTTATGTTATCTTCTTTATATGCTTTCTATAAGGTTTAACTCAACAGTAACAAGATTTCTCTCTGGTTTGATCCCTGATTATCTACCTATCACCTATCTCTAATTATTTATTCATCTACCAACCCAGTTGAGTTCCCAAAACAGTGCTTGGTCCATAGATGTTTTACCAGCTTAAGTTAAAGCTAGGTTTTTAGATACACAGAAGTCTCCCAAAGCTTAAGTGTTTAGGACTGCATGTCTTGCATTAACTCTTTCTTCAATCTGTGGTTCTCCCCATTATTCTCCTTAGTGCACTTTTGACTTCCTTATTCCTCAGAGTGTAAATCAGGGGGTTCAACAAAGGTGTCACCAGAGTGTAGAAAAGTGCAATGCTTTTGTTCACATCCTGCGAGTAACTGGAGGGAGGCTGGAGGTACATGGATATGAGGGTGCCAAAGAAGATAATCACTACCAGAAGGTGAGAGCCGCAGGTTCCGAAGGCCTTCCGTCTCCCCTGGGCTGACTTTATCTTTAGAACTGCATGAGTAATGTGGCCGTAGGACACTAATATAAGTGAGAGGGGTACCACCAAGAAGAAAACACTGACAGCAAAGAGTTCAGCCTCATTAATGAAGGTGTTAGTGCAGGCCAGTTTCAGCATCACTGGAACTTCACAGAAGAAATGGTCCAGTTGGTTTCTGCCACAGAGGGGAAGAGTCATGGTCAATGCTGTCTGTACCATAGAATTGCCAAACCCTGTGAGCCACGCAGTTACAACCAGGTGTAAGCAAAGCTGTGGGTGCATGATCACCATGTAGTGGAGTGGACGGCAGACAGCGGCATAGCGATCGTAAGCCATCACAGCTAAGAGAACACACTCCACTCCCCCAAGTCCCAGGGCAATAAAGAGTTGTGTCACACAGCCACCGTAAGTGATGGTCTTGTCCTTCCCCTTGAAGTTGAACAGTGTCTGAGGGACGGTGCAAGTAGTCAAACAAAGATCCATAAAGGAGAGATTAGAAAGGAAGAAATACATGGGGCTATGGAGGTGAGGGTCTACAACTGACAGCAGTATGATGGTGCTGTTGCCTACGAAGCTCAAGAAATAGATGACTAGGATAACCACGAAGAGAGCTGTTTCCAACTGAGGCCTGTTGGAGAAGCCCAGGAGAATGAATCCAGAAAAAAGGCTGCCATTAGCTCTGTCCATTACAGTCTACCTGTGGGAAACAAGAGAGCACTTACCTGGAGGCTTATTTCCTGTTCTTGTCCTGAGAAAAATGCAGCTTAACTGGGAAACTGCTCACATTTTTTTTTTTTTTTTTGCTGGAAAGCAGCTTCTGTGTTGCATTTTCCCATGGGATCAGAATTTCCTGTGTGTTTTCTTGCAAGAGCTGTGCTATTGCTACCTTCCTTGAGAACATGAGTGTGTTGAGCTTTAAACAGCCTGTAAGACAAAAGGCTCTTTCTCTGGATGTTGTCACCTAAGAAATGGCAAAGGGTTTAATTTGAATCTACAGTATGGTCTCACAACTGCCAAGGACCCTGGCTTTTTGTGATCAGATGAACTTGAGTGTCTCAAAATTAAATCAAATTTCCCTCAATGAGATGTAAATTTGCTTTTGTCTTGATTCTTTTATTTTTGGTGTCATTAAATAATTGAAACATTTAAAATGGGTTTTCTAGTTCTTATCTGCTCAGAGAAAACATTTATTTTCTGAAAAATGCAAGGATATGCAGCATTTGACAACTTAGAGTGGAGCACCATACTTTAATATAATCACAAATAGTATATTGTCAGGTCCCATAACCTAGAAGCATTTTAATGATTGGAAAGCCACTACTCTTAAATGTGTTTAGACTTCAGGGCATCAGCCTTGATTCCTCCTCATTAGTGCCATCCAACAAAGAGCTGGGGACTGTCTGTCAAATGCTCGGTCTTTTCTTTTCTCTCACTTTATATTTTGAGAAATTCTCAGTGTAACAGAATTTTTTCCAACTTTTTACCCTGAACTTTAAAAAAAAATCAGCTGCATGAAAGAATCCACTTTCCTACTTAAATAATCAATCCTGAAAGTCAATCATGCATTTCTTTCTCTCAAAGACTTCCAATGATTCAAATTTAGTATTACATATTACTAGGGTCCCCAGCATGCTGTACATACATTCTACAATTGAGCTATATCTCCAGCCCTAACAGCAGCACAACTATAACCTACAAAGGGGTCTGGGCAATAGAAGAGGGGGATAAATTAGAACAAAATATAATGACAGATATGTATGAAGATGCCATAAAGAAATCAATTCCTTTGCATATTTACCTAAAAAGTTAAAGTCTTTAATATTACATAATGTAAAAATACAAATAAATGGGATTGGGCAAACTTCTTGAGCAAATAAAAATAAAAGCTCAAAAATAAAATAAAATAAAAATATAAGCTTAAAATGGTCACAGGCTAGCTGGACATGGTAGTGCACACAAATAATCTCAGGGTAGAAGGATTAGTTTTTCAAAGCCATCTTCTGTTACATAGAAAGTTAAAGACTGGGTGAGACTAGATCAGACCATGTCCTTAAAATGTCCATAGATTATTAGTAATTAATTTTGTGTTACTGAAAGCTACTGAAAGTCCTGGAGGAAAATCTTGAACAATAACTATGCAATAGTTGTTTGTGCAATAGTTGCAAAACCCAGTCTGTTTGGAAAGTTTTTTTTTCAGTTTTATTTCAATTTCTTCTCATCCATTGGAAGTATTTGTTGATAAGCAGTCATGCATAGTCAAACATTAAGCTGTTTTTCATTGTTGTCTTGTGTGGAATCTTTTAGGACTGTAAATCCTTTATACATGTAATTTCTCTACTCACAAGGTTTCTAACTGACTGAGGAGAAACTTTACCTTCTGTCTACTGTGCTTTTCTTGTTGGATACTTAGGTCCCAAATTCTTTATATTCTCTTCAGTGATTGCTTTAGTGGCAGTTACTGTCATGACAAAAAAGGAAGATAATTTGGAGTAAATTCTAAAGTCTAATAAAATTGGAACAAAATACTTGCATTCTAAACTTAAATCTGCAATTAATAAGTCTTGAGATTTTAAAGTCTGCTTCTCTGCTCCCCTTTTCCAACTGTTTCTAAATGGAAGAGATAATATTACTGCCCTTTTGTCCTTTAGTTGAACCCGGGAAGTCTCAATAGCTCGAACACCCTATTTCTAAGAACTCATCAGCAAAAACCAGTTCTGTTCTTCAATGATAATAGGGTTTATAATTTCTTCCTCTTTCAGATTAGCAGGGCTTGTTTCAAGACATCCAGAATTCTAAACATAGTGTCAACCTAAGAATTTGTTTTTATCGAATGTTCTTGGCACATACCTTCAAATGTTCTCACTGTTGCACAGAAGATAATCTGAAACCAGAAAAGCATACATGTGCAATTCATTATAATCACAAGGCAGAATCAAATTGGCACAGGTTATTGCAAGTTATGTTTCCATATGGTTGTGCTATTTCTTCAAGGTTGCCCATGATGAATATGAGGGCTCAACACAGCAGAAATGCATAGTTGTGAAGGCTGTAAATCCAAAATCAAGGTATGAACAGGGCTGGATCCCTCTCAAACCTCTACAAACCTGAATCTTTTCTTGTGTCATTTTGTCCTTCTGGTGGTTTGCTGGCACTTCCTGGAATCCTGTGGTTTGTTCTCAGGGAGCTTCAATCTCTGTCTTCATGGAAAATGACATTTTCTGTTCTTCTTCTGAGTGTAGTAATCATATTTGCTTCAGGTTCACTAAATTAACTATAATGTCATGTTAACTTGATTATATATGCAAAGTAGGCACCCTTCTGTTAGATTTCTGTTGGGCTTTTTTTCAGGGGGGAGTGTCAACTCATGAAATGATCTCAATTATATGTCAAATTGTGATGCTTTCTTATTATAAATTCATTCCCATTGCATAGTATAAGACCAAAGATGAGGGTAGTTTTAGTCTATTTCAGATTCATAAATGAGATAAAATTGGCCATGATCATTGTTGACACTATGGCTTAGTATTTATTTCTTCTGCTTCACACATGATGGAAGTCACTTTCCAGAAACACCTAGCTAAAGCTCTTCATAATGCATCTTTGCTACAACTGAAAGATTGAAGTCAATAGAGAATGCACATTTTAAGACCTGTGGAATTTCCCCATGGTATTTAGTTTGAATGGGATAGAAAATAGTTACATCCTTTTATTTCTAGAATGCAAGGATACTCATCTAATCTGGAATTCAGAATCCTACTCTGGTCTAGAATATATTCTATTAGTAAACTAATTATTTCTCCAGATAACACCCAGGATTCTATGGTGTCTAAATCAGAAGTGAAATGAAAAACCTTAGCTGGCTTAGGGAGCAACTGAGCTGGTGTTGAATACAAAATATGGAATCTTCTGTAGATGAGAAACAAAGATTGCAGACAGCCAGTTGCCTTCTGGGAGAAGCAAGGTGGTCTTGGAACCCCGAAGGCTGGTGTTGGTGGGAATATTAATATTAGGCAAATTAACATCACATCTTCAAATATGGTATATCCTATGGTTACCAGTCTGTGAGTTTGGCTCAGGAATTGCAGGGTAGGGTTATGTGATGGGACAGGCAAAATAGAATTCTTAGAATAAACATAAATATGAAAGTATGTTTTAAATATGTTGTTCTTTGGATGATCTTTAAAAGTGAATAGTGATCAAATGCTATGCAGGCCTTTGCATTTGGTAGCAACTTCTTCAAAAGTTATTATTGACATAACCTCTGTCACTCCTGTGGCTTTCCTGGAAAACCTCTCTATGCATTTTAGACTCCTATAGCTAAACAGAAACTGAATCTGAATTATGTGGAATCTGCCCATGAGTATAAGGGCAAATGTCACATCAGAGGAATCTTTTTATGAGCCACCAAGATCCAGGACCTGCTTTGGGAACCAAGATGCTTGAGGATGTGCTTATTTTTAGTAGTCCCAAGAGTGTCTTGCCCCATGTAACTCATTAGCCCCTGTTCAGGTATCCAGAGTTTGATGCCTCCAGGGAACAGTTGAAGTGGAAGGCTCTAGAGAGGTGTTATCAACAGAGAATCCATCTTTTCCTGCCAAAATTGATGGTGATCCAATTGTTTCTAATTCATTTCCATCTGACATACCTAGTAGAATTGTTGGCATTTCAGTGGTCAATCCTTAAATTCTTTATCTTTCAGAAATAGCTTTTTTTCTACCTTTAAGAAAGAAGAGGTCCTGAAGCATAAAATTCTGGGCCTTTCCCCCATATTACTTTGTGCTTGTGCTGTTGATCCAGTAAATTTTTTGATGGCCTATCAACTGTATTATCTTCCAGGGGTTTTGAGATCTTGTCAATCAGTCATACCTGGTCTACTCTATCATCATCAGCCTTATATCCATAGCCTAAAATATGTTCAAGTGTCTCCTATCATAAATATATAAAGAGGGGACTGGATATGTAGTTTTGTGATAGAGCATATGTTTGATACCTTAAGTTCAATCCCTGGGAGTAAAAAACAAACAAACAAAAACAGAATTAAAGCCACCACCATCTTTTCTTTCTTTTTTTTTATGGCAGTTTCTTACTATACAGTCCTAGCTGACTTTGAACTCATGGGAATTCTCCTACCTCACGCTCTCAGAACACGACAATTAAAGGTCTGAGCCACTATGTCCAGCTCATTTCATTCTGTCTTAGTTTTTTTCATCCATTAACTTGCAACAGTATATTAATACGTTTCTCCTCCCAATCAAAATTCCATGTGTCATGAATTCTTTGCTTATTACTTTAGTAATGGCACTTTTAGTGAGGTTTCTAACACCCTTCCGGTTATGTGGACCAGAAAACTGGTGTAATCTATCAGTGCTTTCCAGCCTTCAAGAAATTGCATTATTTAATAACAACTTGCTTTCTTCTATTATTCCTTGGGCTCAGAGTTACCTGCTTTTTCCTTTGCTAGGCACAAACCTCTGAATTTTTATTTTTACTCAGTTTATTTTTGGTGCTGGGGATTGTAGCTGGCCTTTGTGATGTTAGTGAAATGTTCTCCTATTAAGCAATACCACAGCACTTTATTTTTCTACTTGTAAATGGTCTCACTACTTATCCAGGCTTACCTTGAACTCTTGATTCACATGATTCAGCCTCCTGAGTTGCTGAGATTATTGATGGACACTACAGTGCCTGGCTGAATTCCGCGTGCTTGCAGGGTGGGAGCAGGAGTCAACATCTAGTGTCTTTTTCACTTACTA